TGATGTTGTCACAATAAGCTCTGTCCATATAGAGGTAGGACCAGGAAGCATGATGCTTTCTTCCTAGGAATCATGCAGCTGCCCACAGTCCTTTATGTCACAGAATATATAGGAACAGCCCACCTAACAAGTTTAACAAAAAAAAAACATTATTTCAACATACATTCTCTGTGTGAAAATCTATGAGAATGGAAATGTCCTCACCATCATATGTTTTTGGTTTTATAAAGGAGAGTTTCAGTCGGTGCAACATCAGTGTATGTTTTTGATATTTTTTATTTAGTTTTTGTAGTTCTTTTCCTGAAGGCTGTAGTCCCAGTTTGACCAGCATCATGAAAATCATCAGCACACCGCCCAGAGCTCCTTTCCTACCCTGGATAGTATTCTTAGTGCTGACACTATGAACGGTGAAGGGATAGATGCAAGGTACAGGAGACAGGAGCTAAAATATGAGGCGTTCAATTTGAACATAAAGCAAATGAGCCGGAAAGGTGATTAGTGACACAGAAAACAGGTGGGAACAATCAACAGCGGCTGAGTGGAGAAACACTGGGCAGAATGAGTGTGGACTGTATCCATAAAGGAAATAAACACAACAAACCTAGTCATAAGGTAACATTTATGCAACAACGTAACTATAATAACACATAGAACAATAATCACAACCCAAAATAGTCAGAATAAAACTAAACTGACAGAACTCAAGAACCACAGATTATGGTGTTTTTAATAATTATCAGGAAGATTTAGCATTTCCAACTTTATCTACTGTATGTATCCAAGGTCTTTTTGCATGGGGTTCTCCCTGTTCATGCATGGGTTCTCTCCAGGTACTCCGGCTTCCTCCCACATTCCAAAAACATGACTGTTAGGTTAATTGGCTTCTCTAAATTCTTCTTAGGTGTGAGTGTGTGGGTGAATGGTTGTTTTTTCTCCCGTTTTTCTCCGTGTTTTCCTGCGAGGGACTGCCGACCTGCCGAGGGTGTACCCCGCCTCTCGCCCATCTGGAGATAGGCACCAGCACCCCTCGCGTTCACAGCAGGGATAAATGTGACAGAAAATGGATGGATAGATAAAAAAATCTAGCACTAACACTGATTCTCCTTTTAATATTCCTCTCATATACATTAAGTCCTGACTGTTCTCTTAATTATTTTCTCTTTCCCTTCTTTGTGTTTTAATTCAGTCATTAAAAAGTGTTTTTCTGCTTGTTTTTCTCTCTATATATCCCAATCATGTCTCTTTCATCTTAGTTCATTGCTTCAAACTGGCATTGATGCCATTTACAATAAACTTGACCTCCTACATTGCTCAAAATGATCTCTCATCAGACTGATTTTTCAAGATTTGCCTTAAAAGGGGAACAGCCTGTGAGACCACATTTTATCAGTTTTGATCCTTTATCTTTCTAATGAAATAATCTAAATAATAAACCAAATAAAGCCTATTTAGAGCACTTTAAAAACTATTCAGATGTTCAATGATGGATACAATGATACACAAATGGCTTCAAATATTTATTGAAGTCATAACACAGAAAACTCAATTGTGGTGAAAGTTTCAACATTTTACACAACAGAAATTTTCACTCACTCTGATGTTTTGGAGTCTTCAGGTCTTTCTTGGCCTTTAATTGGCTTCAGAAATGAAACTAGATCAGGCTTTTTCTCTCAACAATCAGTTTCATCAAACAGTTCTGCTTTAGATTACATAAAATAGGTCGATAAAGGCAGTCTAATGGCAACATTATTGTTTTTACACCCATAAGTCACATATTTGCACCATATGATGTGAAACAGAACTAAGCATCGGCTGAATTTATATTTTTTTCATGCATAAAACATAAAAAACAAATTAAACAAAAAATCTAAACATTTCACTTGTTTTGCAAACAAATTGTTCTTGCAAAATAATCAATTGTGACGTTTGCTGCAAATAAAAAAACTAAGCATTCATGGATTCAAGCAGAAGTTATTTTCAAACATAGAATTTGGGCAGCCAAAAGTGGAAAGCTGTCAAAAAACAGTTAAGGGTCAATCTACGCTGTACCAACAGGAAAACAAACGAGCAGAACATCAATGTTTTCTAAATAAAGTCAAAGTAGATTTTCCTAAATGACCATTCTGTTATATTTACTGACACAGTCAGTCCAGCGAAGACAAAACAACTTTGGTGACTATGTGCAGATATACTGTAGTTATTGCTGTTAGAACAACTGTGGGCTGTGGGTTTGATGCTAAAATCATCCTACCACATGTCAAGATACCCCTGGGCAAGGCACTTAACCTCAAACTGCCTCTTGTTTATGAGTGGGATTAGGTGTTTGTGCACAGTTTAAAACACTAAGTGTAAAATATGAATAAATTCAGTCCATTTACCACATGGATGTGGATCTACTTCACTTGCCTGTTACTTTTAAATGCATAATAATGTCCTGAACCCATGCTAAACACATAGACAGGATTTCCATAAAACACATGCCTGATATGCAGATTACAGATGAAGTGAATCAGATCACCTTTAACCTTTAACCAGTTTACTTGGTCAAGTGTTCAGTTTAAGCACCAAAGTTAGTTAAAGCAGTAAAACATTTATGCTGAAAGTAAATGGAATACAATTTCAAGACATTTCAACTCTAAACATCATTTCCTACTTCTCTGATTCTGAAAAATGCAACAGTCAAACGTTTTTTCTTTGCGTCGAGGATTAAATCTGTAAATGTGATAAAATCCTTGTGCAGCTGTGGTTACACAAATCGAACAGAGAGGAAAAAACAGGATAAAAGGAATAAGAAATAGCAAAATGTAAAGGCAGAGCACTTAAATAAACTATAACAATCAACAGTTTTTTTAAAAGAGCATGCATTGCAAGGCAAAAAATATCAAACATGAATATTAAACTTGTAATAAAATCAAGCTTTAGTTACATTTTCCACCTCAAGGAGACATTAAAACAAAAACTTAACTTCCATCAGATAATACTGATTCCTGTTCTTTTCTGTTTCTTTTACAATATTATGGTCTGTCCCACCTTAACTGACATTACATCTACAGTTTACCAATAACATACCTGCAGCTGTACAATGTAAATACTGTAGTTAATATAATAAAGTTAACACAGACGCACTTTGTGCTGCAGTAACGAAGCATTTACAACAAACTGAAAGTTAACACCTGATTCACAGGTGTGTTTTAAGGCGCCTCCAAAAAACACATTCGCTGGTTGTCAGATCCTGTTTAGCTATCCTACATTTTCCCTTTTTCACACTTAAATCCATAAACCGTTTAAGCGAGCAGAGCTCATAGTTTCCCTGAACCCATGTTAGATTAGGACTAATCAACTTAAAGTTTTAAACAAACTTGAGGGTTAGATGCATCAAAACCCATCAAAGAAAACCGTTTGACGTGAAATAAAAACTTTCTCACCAGTGTTAACGGCTCCTTCGGAGTGTAAAAAAACTAGTCGGTAACATCCACACTGTCAGACATGTTTTGCTCAAAGCTGTTGTCTTCTCCCCAGATGAAGCAAATTTTCCACTTTGCATATAAAGAACCAGCTAGCTCATAATAAAACATGGATTAGCTTTCCTCTGTCCAACATTTCAGATTTAAATACTTTAATAAAACTTTTGCATGCTCAGTGTGCATTATCTAGAAAAAGGCATCAGCTTATCACAAAACTTAGAATATAAAGTAATATTAAACTTCACAAGGAGTGACTAAACTGCCTGTATCTTCAAGTAAACCGTGGGGGTTTTAGCAGTCATCCTTTAGAGTCAAACTCCTTTGCTATTTCTTTACAGTAACATAAACTTTGTGTTTAATAAGACAGTAAAAGGAAATTTCCAGCAGTGCTCAGCGAGGCTTAAAACCAAAGAGGCAAACTCGGAGCGGAGTCACATCACCGGAACGAAGAGAGATCGAGGTACAAGAAAACTTGACAACTAATCAGGCCCAATTCAAGGCCGATAAGAACGTCTACATTCATTCGCTGTAGCAGACATCACAGCATCGCATCCGTTGGTCACGTTAATGTTGTCCTGCAGTTTTCCCGTCTCCAAAAAGCATAAAGTTAAAACTCTGATTGCTGCATCTTTGAAACTTTGTGGAAATATGAATGTAGTCATCACCTTTATATACCAATGATATATGAAATACAAAATGATAGAAATACTAAATACTCCTATTTTTGTGAATGCAATCTCTTTTTCATTTTCTTTTCTCCTCTTTTTCTAAGACCAGATTATATAAGATTTTTCTTCTTTCTGCTCCTATTTGTTCATATAAATCTTATGTATATAAATTTATAAATATAAATTCAACAAATGCATGAACAGTGAAACATCTAGTTATTTATTCAGGTATTTATTTATCTCATTATTTAAAGCTTTTGAGAGCATTTTCTCAGTCAGCCTTTCCCATTACAGTCAAACTATGATTCTTACAGTGCAGCAAATATACCAAGAGAAAATTATTCTAAGTAATTCTGCCTTAGGTTTTTCTATATTTTTTTATTTATAACTTGAATAATTTAACAGCATACTTAATGTATGAACTTCCATATCTCCAGTTTAACTTAAATTACTACATGCATGTATAACTGTTTACCAAGATCTTTGTTATTAGAATTATATTTTTGACACAATCTTAAATAGCAGAAATCTCCTTAACAACACAAACAGGTTGTTCAGAGTTCACTGCTAGCTTTTAAGTCATATTTTTATAAGAATAAAAAACAGATCCATCTACAGGTCAAACAAGGAGAACAACTTATTCTGTGATGGGATGAGTTTCAGTGTTCATCAGTATGCAGCAGGATGCTACAAGTAGATGTTTGGAGACAGGGATACTGCTGGGATTAAAGTGGGAGCTCCTGGGTTTGGGTTTTATGCTAGTTGCATGCTAATCTTTTGCACCAACAGGTAAGCAGAGGAAATGAAAATGGGCAATGCAGATTACTTTAAAAAATTGTGACAGTGCTAGAAAAAGTCAAATATTACAAGCTTTTTAATATCTGATGCAAAAGAAATCTGGTTGTAGTCAGAAGAATATGGATTATAGATTTGATGGGAACATATTTTGTATTTACATGTGCATAAAACTGTGGAGTGTATCTTAAAGCAATGAAACGTGCACTAAGATTCTACACAATAAATGTATGAAGGTAAAAAAATGCTGGATGCAAAAGACTACAGTGAAAAAACACACTGTACTTAGAAAAAGCAAGGTAACTTTTTCCACATAGAAATTCTTTGTATATTTCACTAAATTAAATCAAAGTTACTAAGAGGAGTTGATTTAACAAAGTCAAACAAATTTTACTGCAAAATTTCTCTTGTCAACAAAATGTACTTTTGTTTTGCTGTTAAATTTTACAAAGATGCACAGAGACATACAACCGTGCACACACAAGGAGAATGTAAAGATGCCAATTAACCTAACAGTAATGTTTCTGCACTGTGGGAGGAAGCCGGAGTACCCGGAGAGAATCCAAATGCATGGGAAGAGTATGCAAACTCCATGCAGAAAGACCCTGGACCAGGGATCAAACACAGAACCTAATTGCTGCAAAGGCAACAGTGCTACAAACTGCACCACCCTGCAGCCAAAAAGTAAACAATATTTTCTATTTCTGGCCTAAACATGGTCAGCCGAGGAAAATAGCACCAAGTTTACTCCTAATATCCGAGTACATAGTACTTGCATCTGTTAATCTGGGAACTGGTTTGTTAATGCTATTGGGTAAGATGAAATAAATGTTCTTGCATGTTGATGGATATAGATTTAAAAATTAATTGAAAGTAACACATGACATAAAAGGTGTCATTTTGAAGTAAATGCACTTACATGGCAATTTGCAGTAATTTTTACATAAAAAAACCGAGGTAATGTTTACAGAACCAACAAGTCCCATTATTCAGTGTATAGAGGCAAAAAGTTGTTAGGAACAGCAACATTTCAAAATAAAACCCAGGAGCTCAACCATTAAATGAATCAATAAATAAAAGATCAAAGAGAATTCCCTCCTTTTTGCCCGTGTCAGTTATTGCAAACAAAGAATGTCACAGAATTAAATATCTCTGTTGGTTTGACTGACACGTCTCTGTGAGGGAGTCAGGTCACTGCCCCGCAGCTCTGGCTGCTCTCTGCTCCAGCATCGATCGTACAGCAGGAGACAACATGGCGGGGGACATGGCTGGGGTGAAAGGTCGTAAAGGATAGTGTGCCTGTTTTCCTGGGAAATAGATACACTGGAAGTATTTCTGGCCTAAGAGAAAAGAAGGTGAAAATTAATGCGGGTTTAATGCAGAAAACTGATTTATCAATGATCCATCCCAAAGTACTTTCACTCTGACTGAGGATGTGAATTATCAGAAAAAACAGATGTTGTTTTTCTTATTTTTTTATTTGAAAATAACTGATGAAGGTCAGATTTCAACAACATAACTTAAAATTTAGGAAGTAATTTGTTCTGCAGAACTAAATTTAATCCAGGTTTGAGTTTGAAATGAGTCCATCCACAGTGTTAAATACTAAAAACTCAACCATCTGTTTTGTCACATGCTATAGGTTTCAAGTAAATCTTCCTGTAAGCATTTTCTTGTTTGTGTTGAATAATCTAGTTTATATGATCTATCTAAATACAGGATATTTGGAACTGAAGGTGACTAAATGCATTTCAGCCTTTATATAAAAAAAGAAATGGTTTATACTTTTTAATCAGCACTGATTGATTAATAGGATATTCATGGATATATATTCATCTATGGATAAAATAAAAATAAAATACCAGACTAACTGACACATTAATCTGTTTATTAATAATATCCCTTAATGGTATATAAATCACTATGGTACAGTTGATTTATTATCATGAAGAGATGTGAGTTAATGCTGCAAAAAAACACCTTCTATTTTTACAAATGTATACAAATATGTAGTGTTGACCTTTGAACTGTGATGACATCACATTTCAGCATCTCTTACTTGGTTTCTTCTTTTCTGTCTCATCTGTGACACTGTCCTCAGTCCCAGGGTTCTCTGCAACAAATTAGAGTGTAATAAACTTAGATTAAATAATTATATTTTAATCTGTTGAGAGACAGGAAAAGAGAAGTGAGTGTATACATGCAAGTTATCAGCAGAAAGAGAAAAGGCAGATTTTTGTTTCCTAAATTATTATCTTTTCATGTGAAATATAACAAAATGCTTAAAAAAGTGTTTTTGTTTACATAGTTTATTTATATCTCTTGTTTCTCTTATCCTATGTCTTATCTTATGTATCTTATAATTATTTTTCCCACCAATGAGGTTAAAAACTTCTGGGCGAATACAGAAACTTTGGAGAAAGGAAATAAGGAACAGCAAATGCGGGAAGTTGATCTATTGTCAAACCGATATGTTTTACGTATTAAATATTTAGCACAGAATGATTTATTTTTAACTCCAGGATAGATTTGATCAGTTATTAAAAAAAAAAAATTCTCCACTCAAACTGTTAGTTAACTGGGTAGTAGAAAAGCAACATGTTTTCTATCCTTTAAAGTGTAAATGGATTTAAAAAATAGAACTTTTTTCATTTACGTTTAAGCAATCATTATTTTTACATAGAAGAAACATTTTTATAGGACTTGAATGACTATCACTGAAAGAATAATGAACAAATATAGCCGGACCCACCTGCTGGCTAATCCGGACCCAACCTGATTTAAAACATTTATAAATTACTGCATGTTGTCCAAAGACTAACTTCACTTGCGCCGCTTCTCCTGTTAATATGGTAAAGCCCTCTGGAGCGTCTGGCACCAGGCTACATGTGATAAAATTAACCAATGAGCTGCTGTCAGTCTGGGTTGCTGCTGCTGCTACTTTTAGACACAGCAGGCAAACCTGGGGCAAGCCGGGCGATGGGAAAGAAGGAGAAGATGATGCGAAAAAGGAAGCAAAGAAAGTGTGAACTGCTGGAAGAACTGCGGTAAACTTGTGAAAAAAAAGTGAAATGGTGTTCAAAGATGACCCTGCATATTTAGAGGATGTTTGTCTCAACCTGCTGCCGTGAAGCAGGATTCTCCACCATGAACAGAATCAAAAATAAATATGGATCCAGGCTCACGAATGAGCACCTTGATATGTGCTTGAGAATGGCTTAGTCTCCATTCAAACCAGGTTTAAAGCCTTGCAGGTCAGCCTGAAGCCCACTGCTCAAATTAAGCCATAAAAAAAAGCGATTAGTTCAGGTGCTTTATAAAAATAAGTGAATAAGGAAATTGTCGATATACCAAACTGAACGATCGTTGTTCTCTACTTCAAAAACAATTTTGATTTTAAAATGGAAAAATTTTCTTTTTCTTTCTATTTTTTTATTTAAACATTTGATGTGTAACATGGATGCAGAAACACCTGCATTTTATTTCAATGTTAAATTCTGTTTAAAGTAATAGGTTATGATTTAAAATGTCTCCGGACCTTTACTGGTTGTTGATTTTCTTTATTAGGACCGCTCTGATTTTTAATTGGTTACCCCTGCTTTAGGTAATCTGTTTCGTCATATATTTAGCTGTTATTATCATTATGGAGTAAACCATGGTTATCAAGAATAGGAATATTTATCTAGTATCTTATTACTGAAAGTCATATTCTAGTTATTAATTAAGTCAACAGGTTTCTTAGGACATTGTAAGTAATATAGTATTTAAAAAGTGTTAAAGATACACATCCTGACCTATACGTGAAAAGTTACATGTTAAACTGTTCTGAACAAATCTCTTCAGTTCTCACGAAACTAAAATTAAGTGCATAGCCCAGATTTTACAATAATTTGAAGTTGTAGATACTGAGAAACTATAATCCTTTAAAACTTTAATAACAGCAGCACCTTTGACGGCAGCAAGGTGTCAGATATCGTCCCGGATTTGTTGTAATGGAACTGCAATTTCACCCTACTAGTGTGCTGCTCCAGACTGGCTGAAAATCTATATCATCATTCATACCATTTTAAATTGAAAGTATTAATGTCCTCACTCTTTTAAGAGGGAGACTTTAAAGCACTTTATCATGAATTCTGCTTTGATTTTAGCTTCTAATATCAAACAGATGTGAAAAACAGGAGGTGGAGTGTCAGAAATGAAAAAGTGTGGGGACACTGGGGGCAGTGTTGATAATCCACTGAATGAGTCATTAACAGGAGGCTAATACCCCAAATAAATGAGTTTTCATTTTTAATCTGTCCAGTTATTGATGCTATAAAATACAAATCTCTTTAAATATTGCAAGACACTTAAATATGTGGATAATCGCATCTCAATTAGATAATCTCATTAAATCCTCTAATGTGCTGCCATTGATGTTATTATCTCCTCATACTGATTCAGTCAGTGGAAATATGGTGAAACATACTTTATACCTCAGACCTCACAGGAAGGAGCGTCTTTCCCATTGGCTATTAACAAAGCATACAAATAAAATAATCATTGTGCAAAACTGCCACATTGGTCATGTTGGTAAAGATTAAATACATAAAACTGAACAAATATAATCTGGATGATGTTTTCTTTTATTACAGGAGATTTAATCCCTATCAGATGGGGAACAACTTTAATATCAAAGTGGTCATAGACTTTTCATTCTTACTCTGAAGGCGTATAACATACATGTATAATGAGAAATTGTCTCCAAACTCTATCCCACTGAAATGTCTTTTGTTTCTTATAAGTTTGTTCTTAATGCTGATATGATTTTTGTGAGTTTTCACTCTATACGTCTTAATAATAGAGTAATTGTCCTAAATGTCCTTCTGTATGAAACTTTTTTCAGCATAGAAATAGCTAATGATAATTTTGTGTCATTGGGATAATTTGATGAATGTCACAAAAATTAAGAAACACCATATAAATAAGAGAAAATGCTGAAAAATCATGAAACTGACAAACAACTGATGGATAAAGCATTAAGTTAGTGTTAAAACTGTTGGTCATCAAGCTTGACAGAAAAAGTGCTTCCATCATCGTTTTCACCTGTAGCCCACTGGAAGTTTTAGCTAAAAGTCAACCCACCTGAACAGAAATTGTTTTTTTTTCTTTAAATGAACAGCTAAAGAGTGTTTGCGTACTGAGGTTTTAATTGCCTATTTGTCTCCCAGTTATGTTGGGAGCAAAGCCTGCCACATCCATTCAGCATGTTTAAGCTGGCAAAGATGAGAAGCAAAGTTAGTTTAAATGGCACACCCTGCAATCTGAAGTTTAAAGAATTTCCAAACAAATATATGTCAGAGGAGAAGGAGTGAAGTGTTGACTGATATGTGGAGGACTTAAGGCCAATTTATGCTTCTGAAACATAGCCTCTACAACCGTCAAATCTGTAACTGTGCACGACCACGCACCCCGCGCAGAGGTTCTGCAACCGCTGTTGCGCACCTCAAAAAAATCCTCACTACGCGTCCGACGGTCGAAAACCTGCACAGATCTCAAGCAGAAGTGCGCAGTGATTGGTTCCTGGTATGCCTTTCCAGCTGTCTGTGTGGTCGTCCTTCTTGATTCGATGCCGGGGCACGCCATTTTTAAAAACCGAGGAAAAACTACAATGGACAACTACGACAAAAGGTTAATCAAGGAGGTTCGGAAGTACAACCACTTGTATGATGCCTCAGACAAATTATGTAAAGATGCCAAGGTCTCCTGGAGGGAGATCAGCCAGAACCTGTTCCTCTTCGGTGTCTAGCAACTCTAGATCCATCTTCGTGACCGTGATATTTTGCAGACGCGCCATTGTTGTTTTGGAAGATCAACACTCCCGCCGGCGCTGCCAAAGTTTTCGTGACCATCAGCCGAAGTTCTCGCGATGTCTCCAACATGTTCCCCCTCGCTTTGGCGCAAAACTACCGTGCGTCCCTAGAAATTCCAGACCAACGGTGCAGAAGTATACCAGCAAAACTGGTTCATGACCAGACCTAAGCGACATTTGATGTGTGAGGTTGTAGAAGTATAATCTGCCCTTTAGTCCTCAACGTTATCCTGGGTTTGAATCCTGCATGCTGAGACATTTGTTGAATCTTTTCTCTCTCTCTCCGTTATTTGTCCTGTCATTCTATTAAGAAATAAAGGCTACTAATATCACAAAACTTAACAATAATAAATTTTTGAGGAAATAAAACTCTTAGTGCCTAATTTTTGTGACTCAGTTTCCAACGCTTATTAGGAAATCTTGGCCTAATCCTAATTATCACACTGCTAGAGATATAAGACATAAGTCCATTTTTTCTTTCATTTGGGCTCCATCATGGTACCATTAATGCATTCCAAGCAAGATGAGGCCTAAATTCTGACCAAGTCATAGCAACACCTTGATTATTGTATGTTTTGTCTTTTAGGCCATTTTATTGGAAATTTATGAAACTGGAAATCTTTAGAGGAGGTTAGTGTTAGTCTAAAAGCAAGGTGCACACATCCTGTGGCTACAAATCAAACCAAATTATCAGTGCTTATTTGCTCCATCGACTGTTTGAGCTGCTAATTTGTTTTAAAAAGTGCTTTGCATAATAGCCCAAAGATCTAAACTATCTGGATGTTGTTCCAGAAACCATTCAACTCCTGCCACTTTATTACAGATAATAAATTAAGCTTAAGCATAAATTCAATCTGGAAGACACTTATCAGCTTCACCTGAACCACCTGTGATGCACTTGTTTCTTTTCCAGTCAATCAATTCCGGGGCCACATCTTCTCAGAAGTCAATCATCTTTCAGGATCCCCTTCATTTAGCTCCTGGCCCAGCTTTTCTCTCCCACATGCAGGCAAACTTTCACCCACCTCCACCCCATCTCCTCCCTCATTCTCATATTATTCTGTCCCACCCACCTTCTGACTTATTCCACCACCAGTGTCCAGACCCTGCCAGACTACTCTAATTCTCTTCTACTTTAATCAATGAGGCGTACATTGATTCACAGCATCACTTAAATTGCTTATTTCATTTATGTCTTTATCTGCTTCTGTCATCTTGAACTCCAGTCCTCTGCAGATGGCCGCTCACACCGAGCCTGGTTCTGCTCGAGGTATCTTCCTGTTAAAAAAGAGTTTTACTCTCCACTGTCGCTAAATGCATGCTCAGTGCAAAGGATTTCAGAGAGTCAGTGAGTCCTCTCAATCAGCTGGCTTTCTTTTGATAGAAATAAGTTGAAGAATATGATTGAGTTACCTGTACAAACAATTTGAATATTTTGTAATTGTAGCTTTGTTCTTTGTGAGTCTCTCCAGGTTGAAATGCATTTGCCTAGAAGTTCATCAACTGAAGTCTTATTATTTCTGTTCAGCTTCCATTTGTCCTTTCACAAACTGCAACATTTATTAAGTTTTATATATTTTCTATCATTGCCTTGGTTTTAAATACCCCTACTAAAACTGTCAACATATCTACAAAATGAGACAAGATGTTAAAAGTGAAGTAGTTCTTCCAAAGAAGGAACCATCTGCTGTATATGAGCAGCCAGGTGTAAAAAAGCCATCATTGGAAACCAAAACCACGCTCTGCACAAAAAGTTCAATCTGCTTCCCTACGGGCATGGATACAGAGTCAGGAGCAACAGGATGAAAAGTCTCTTTGTTCACCATGCAATAGCTTTTTAAATAAATACATTTGATCTTATTCCTTTTTAGGCATTTTTGTATTATTTATCTTTATAGATGTAAATGGGATCTTTTATTGTGAAGGCTGTTGAACATGAATTAAGAGTTTTATTATTGTATTCTGTAGGTTCTTTTCTACAGTGATTTCTCTCATATGGGATTTTGAAAAAAATGCTGATGTTGATCAAACTGCTGATCATCAGTTATTGAAGTGTTTAATCAGCAAACTTTCGCTCCTAATCCCTATGAAAGCAGCAAGGGTGTATTTAGTTCTTCTCATGGCTTTATTGTCAGCATTTTTCCCACCTGTATCTACGTATATCACATCACTCTCACTGTATTAAGTTCAGCTTAATCCTGAGTAATGTCATTGCTATAATGGAACGGCTTTCAATTTTCAGTAAATAACATCCACAAAGTCATACTTACTTGTTTTGGGTGATTGTTTCTCTTTATCTAGAGCTTGAAAAGTAAGGGGGAAAAAATGCTGATCAGTTTAAAGTCCAGATCCCTAGAGAACATCTATTTTTCCGGCTCTATACCTGGATCTTCTTTGACAGGTTTCTTCTCTGCCTTTGTACTTTTTCCTGTCAGAGAAGAAAGACAGTCCAGTTATAGCCTGAAAAACATATTCTGATTTTTACTCTCCCTACGCGTAATATCGGAAAACAAAACCCCAATTAGGGTTTTATCTGATGGAAAACAACTTTAATCACATACTGTAATCCATATTTCGAAGGAGCCAGATTTTCTCTGGGACATCAAGCTAAATGCATAAAAGGCCGGCAATTTGGTAAGGAATTAGAAATGCAAATAACATAGCAGAGACAAACAGTAAGGATAGAATATAATTAAAAAAATAAAAGGCACCACAAGAAATCCTTTAAAATAAAAGGAAACAAAACAAAGCAAATACTTTAAATCAGCAAGAGAGCAGATCTGACTGATTATTTGTTTATTAATATCATCTCCTCCGAGCTACAGCCCAGTTTTTGGAAGAACCAGCAGAACCTAGTCAGTTGATCCATCAAACAACCATCTTAGAAAGGTTGCAAAAGCCTCAAAGTTTTATCCTGGGCTCTAATTTTGACTTAAATTACTGGCCTTAGTTAACATTAAAGAACAATTTAAGATATTTCTACTGACTTGGAGCTTTTTTGCTGACAGCAACAAGTTAAATCAGAGGGTTTCTGAACCCTGCTTGCTGATGGTCCCACATCAGATAAAAGGAAAACGAGACGAATAGTTTCTTGAACTTTATTTCTTTGGTGTTTACTCAGCTCTTTCTTTTTCATTATCTTTATTTTTATATTTTAACACTAAGTGTGTCATATTTAAACAATTGGTTTTTGAGATTATAAATCAGTGTGATTTTATTTTATCTTATACAGTCGGACACATTAAATGAACAGAGGATCTATAATAAATAGCACGGAAAAGCCTTACTTATCGCAAATGATAAAAAATAAGTTATCTAATGTAGCATTTGTTAAATTTATGGGGATGGCGGTCTAGTGGTTAGGGAATAGGGCTTGGAATCCTGTGGTTGTGAGTTTGAAACCAACTCCCAAAGACTGCCACTCTAGGCCTCTGAGCAAGACCCCTAACCCCTGATTGCTCCCTGGGCGTCGCACAGTGGCAGCCCACTGCTCCCCAAGGGGATGCTTTAAATGCAGAGAGTTATTTTCTCCATTGTGAGATCAATAAAGTTAAATTCCTTTTATTATTTATTTTTACTATTTGATTAAAGAAAAATTCATTTTTCAAAATGTTCAAGAACAACTGTAGTTTTAAAAAAAATATATTTTCTGGCATATCAGTTTAGACTCCAAGGAGTTGTCTCTGCTTTTTGATTAATTCCTCATGTTTGTTTTATACATTAATCATCACATTAATTTCTATGTGATTTTATATCATAAAAAGGTGAGTAACTCACTTATTGTATTCATACATCCACATGATTCCTTTTCTCCTCTAAGTTAAATGCTTTATAATCTCCTCAATATGAGTCTGAGTGGGAATATTGTAGTAATCTCTTCAAAGCTGTTCTTCTGACCGTTTCCTCCCACTCCCACACATTCTGGCTATAATCGTTCCACTTTTCCATTTCATTTGTTAAGCATTTTAACATTATTGAACTCCCTCGGCTTTAAATCTCTTCTCTACATCATTTGAGGATTCAGTTATTGCGGATAAAGTGGGGTCAAAGTCAGTGTTGAATCTCATCCTGCCCACTGCTAAGCTAAAACTGAAATACATTATACAATGCAAGAATCAAACTGGAAACCCTAGTTAGCTTTTACTGCTTAAAGCTCAGGTTTGGTTTGGTTTTAATAATGATTAGAGTGTAAAATTTAAAGCACCACTGACAATTAAAACCTTGTGACTATTATCATAATAATCTAAATTCCAATGTACAAAAAAATATGCAGGAATACTAGAGATACTGTCAATATTTTAACAGGAATGCTGAGAGAAAAAAGAAAAAACATACAGCTTTTTTACCAAAATAATATAAAAGTTAATTATCATTCATGTGTTAATCAAGTACACCTAACCAATTGATTTTCGGCAAGTTTGTGTACCTTTGTTAAAGCAGAAAATTGTGCAGCTATCTGGTGCAAATGTTTGATAACAAGTAGGAAAGACAACTGCAATGACCTGAGGGAAGAAATTGCTGTAGCTCATCAATGTGGGAAGAATTATAAGGTCACTGTAATTATTTACAAACCAAGAACATGACCTGTAGAGGCTCCAATGCTCAGATAAAATCTAAAAAACAATTAACTATAGCTGCACCTTAGTCTTTAAATGCTCAAGGTAAAATATGATTAAATATATAATATAGAGTGTGTTGACATGCATGTATGGAACTGATGATAGCCTGGGACGATTTATGAGAAGTGAGATTTTTTTTTAGAAAAACAAATCAAAATAGCAATCAAAACATGAGCGGCCCTTCTTTTGCACTCATTGTGCAACAGTAACATCCTCTCTTTGACCACTGTGGCTCAAGATGGCAGCAAAAAGGAGGAGTCCTCACAATTAAAGTTAAATATCCAATTAATTTCATTATAAGTGATGAAAATTTAAACGGGGCATGGGAATGATGAGTATTAGTGATGAAATGAAGTGATTTACATGCGAAGGTGGAAATGGCTGCCCAGAGAGGGAGAGAGCGACCTGCACAAGCTGCCTTTTGTTAGCTTGGCCACTCCCACCTCTACAGGTGCAGCACATTCACCAATAATCACCACTGACAAGAGAACCATCACACCAAAAAGCCTTTGAATACCAACATTTTCTAACAGCAGGCAAACATTTCACTGCTTAAACTGGGGTGTTAACCTGACAATCTAAGCAAACAACACAGAATAACTGAAGAAGAATAAGGGATCTTTAATCAGCCAGAGCCCACATCAATGCAAACCTTTATAAACTGAGGCAACTTTTTAAAGATGATTAGGCTGAAAATCCTCAGAATGAATCTAGAGATAGATAAAGTCATGAAGACAAGAACAACAGAGTTCAACTTAACTTTCCTCACAGAGCTCCTTCATTTTTTTTATTAAATAAATAAACATATATAATCTGTAATGTGGTTTTATAGAATGGAGATGGTGTAAGAACCGTAGGACCCAGCAGAGATAAGATCATCCCTGTTCTGTTGAGTAAAACCTTAGAACTGACATAAGACACATACTCGACATTAAAAGACAATGTCTAACTAATTATTTACAGAACCATTGAGTTTTTATTAATAGAATCAGTTAGAACAGATTTCTATATAACGGCTGAATCGATAAATTAATTGATTATTGAAATAATCGTTAACTAATTCAGCAATCAATTAATAATCAGTAAATGGAGTGTAGAGACTTTAAAATATCTTTAACTGATGAAGCAAGCCACTTAGAGCAATAATTATACTAAAATTATATAAACATCTTACAATTACATACAAAAAAGTTTTTTATCCATCAATATGTTCTTTTCAGAACTCCTCATGTGGAAAAGTTTTTGATTTCCCTGGTTTGAATTTTGTAAGAAAATTTTCTTTAATCAACCTTTTACTGTCCGATTATAATTGATTAATCCATCCATTTTCCATCACGCTTATCCCAAGCCGTGTCGCGATGGTTGCTGGTGCCTATCTCCAGCTGTCTACAGGCGAGAGGCGGGGTACACCCTGGAGAGGTTGCCAGTCCATCGCAGGGCAACACAGAGACAAACAATCATTCATGCACACCTAATGAGAATTTAGAGAAGCCAATTAACCTAAAAGTCATGTTTTTGGACTGTGTGAGGAAGCCCGGAGTACCCGGAGAGAACCAACGCATGCTCAGGGAGAACTCCATGCAGAAAGATCCCGGGCCAGGAATTAAACCCGGAACCTTGCAAACCTGCAAGGCAGAATTGCTACCCACTGCACCATTGAGCAGCCCTCAGTGGTCAATCAAAAAGGCGAAATGATCGTTAGTTGCAGCCTTAAAAGCTCTCTGGTACATTTACTCTACGTTTTCTTCTGGGTTACCTGGTTTAAAGGAGATTCTGATGGGCTTCTTCTTTTCAGCTTGAGACGTCACATTTGTCCTCATGTCAGCTTCCGCTCTCGTTCTCAGTCTCAGTGGCTGCGGTTTTGGTTCTGAATCTGTTCGAAAGCAGAACATTTTTACCAGTTCAAACAGCATAAACTGAGTTTCTCTTCAGCATCTTTAGCTGGAATCGATCATTAAAACGTTCCTCATCAAACTTCACAGAGCTCATCAAAACTGTACCTTTCTTATTTATGGAGGCTTTGACTTTGCTCTTGACAGCCGACACTCCAGAGGGAAACAAAAACAATTAACTCCTAATCAACAGTCGTCTCTCTTGTCACTGAAATGAATTCTGACTGACTTCATGCATATTAATTGGTGTCAGTGTGTGTCGTTACCTGTCCTCTTAGACACTGATTTCCTTTTCTGTTGTACAGCTGCAGGCTCTAACATGATGAGCAGATTGGTGAGATTAGGTTACATAAAACGTGTCTTTCTCTCTGATCGCTGACTGTTAATTTATGCTGCAATCTAATTCATTTAGTGATTAGAATTCAGAAAAATGTGACTTAATCACAGGTTACCTTTTTTTGAAAGTGGAGCAGATTTAGTTTTCTCCTTTGCTGGGCTCTCTGAGGAAAACAGAATAAATAAATAAAAATAAAATAAAAGTATGCATACTATAACTTCAGTTTAATTAAATATAATTCAATATACCTTTTTTAGCATCAGGTGAAGGTTTTGATCTTGCTTTTACAGGTTTTTCTGTAGAAATAAATTATAGATTTAAACAAAACCTGCATTTTTTCATTTATTAAAATTGATATAAAAATTGGTTTAAAATGTAATAACCTCTTTTAGCATCAGCTTGAAGCTTTGATTTCACCTTTGCAATTTTCTCTGTAGATAAAAATGCTCAAATTTGAAACAAGCATAATTTATTATTGCCACTTCATTCAGTAGGAATGTACCTCACCTTTCTTAGCTTCTGCTGACGGTTTGGTTTTCTCTTTTTTTGCATCTGAGGAAACAAATATAAAAGTCTTAGACAGATTTTATGAGCTGTCTTCTATATATTTAAGTATGCATTTATTTCAGTATTGTTGGGATATTTCTCCGTCAACAGAAAACCATATTAACTGAAGCAAAAGAGGAAAAGACTCTATTTGTTTAAGCTTGTTTAGCTTCAGGCTCTAAATGAATAATTACAATAATATGACCATGAAAGTTAATTTGCCTAATAGTGTTTTGTGTCACTGTATATTACAGTTATTATATGGTGTAGCGGCAGTTTGTTCAGGAAACATTCCAGTGATGCGGGGAAATAAAACATCCTGTCAGAGGAAGAGCTTGTACCTTTTACCGAATCAGCAACCTTGCTTTTTTTCTTTGCAGCTGTAAAGAAAAAAATAAAACAACAAAATAAATAATGACTGTGGATGGCAGTAATTAGTTAGAAAATGTTTATGTCAACAACTATAATTCATTAAAGTAGTTTGCACCTTTCTTCACTGAGGCAGCCTTTAATTCCTCCACTTTCTCTGTTTCTTAAATGAGAAGAAATATGGTTATTTCATAGGTTCATAAAAAAAAATCAAAATGATCTTAGATGTTTAAATGTATAGTTTGAACAAAATGCATTTATTAAGATGTTTAGATAAGGTTTAAATTAGTCAATTTTAAACTATATATAAAATATCTTTTTAGCCTTACCTTTAAAACCTTTACTGTAGGTTAAAATTCAGATCTTTTTTTTGTTTGTTTGTTTTTAAGAAATTTTCTTTTTAGATCTGCCCAAATCCATAAAATGTAGATGCACTGACATAGAATAAAGGCCAGACTCACTGATTATTTCTTTGTATAATCTAATAAAGACCTCATACTTTACGTTTAAGAATTGTTTTTTAGGTGATCTAGGGTTTTCTTTAAATGTTGCTGCTTTTTAAAACATTTGAAGTTCAAGAGCAAATCGTTATCAAAGGCTTTATTTTTATCATGCCTGCACAGGTGAATCTCCTAGAAAGTGTTCAACTCTAGTTATAAGCTAAGATTGTTTAGACATGTTTCGGATAAACATGGAAAAAATTGCTGTAAATTGGATCTTAAGGGTTTTTTGTAATGAGCAGCCTGTCATAGCGAAGCATTTCACTAGAATTTCATTGATAGATCAAAGAAAAACAGTGAAGATAGAAATTTTTGACAGCCTGATGTCAGCTTCATGAATGCCATTCCCATAGAGCTGCTTCCTACAATAGATGATCAACTGGAAAATGTTGATCTTTCAGCTCCCGCCTCTGCTCTTTGATGTAATGTGTTTATGAAAGAATAAAGAATTATTTCAGATACTGCTCACAGCTGGAAATGCTTTTTATGTCTGTAAATTCTTTTTGTCCATGTTTTTATGCTAAAACACGTAGAAAAATAGCAGTAGAAGTGTTTTTTTTAACAACCTCCAGAAATCTAAGGATTTTTTTATTGCTTAGATTACAAAATTAAATGATCACTGCGTATTTAAATACAAATACACATATTATTCTATCTAACATGAATGACAAATGTACTTCCTCTACATTATTTTAAAAATAAAGGCCAATTGATTAGTTTAGTTCCATTAAAAAGTATAGGCTTAATTAATAGACAAAACCCAAACAAATAAGGATGGAGCTTACATTTTTTTTCTTTTTTTTCTTTTTTTTTTGTAAAAATAATAATTGCAAAACATATTTGCTAACATTTTTTTAGTTTCGAAAACTTTTTTAGTTAGATTACATTTTTTCATTTTCAAATATTTCTTCTCTTATTTTCATAAAATAGTTATCAGTTTTAAATCTTTTCTTTTAAGTTTCCATAATAATTATCAGGTTTTTTTTTTCTAATTTCTTTCAGTTTATAATATTTTTTTGGTTCTTTTTAGTTTAAAAATAAACATTTTTCTCCAAATATTATGTCTCCAATATAGGTCCATAAACAGGTTGCTGTATTTGACTCTTTTAAAATGTTGGATTATTAGTTTTAGTGTAAAAATGTGACCCTTTTTGGATTTAATAGTGACATTAACTGTGCACCTTCCTGCTCACCCTGAACTTCAGCTGCAGCCGCCTGAGCTTCTGCAGATGGAGTCGGTGTCTCTGGCTCCACCAGGGCTTCAGGTTGGGGAGCCTCTGTCTCCTCTGGTTGTTCAGGTGGAGAAGGTTCTGAAGGAGGTGGCATCATAGGCTGCACTGGGGGCTGATATGGTTGATAGTGAGCATAGAACGGCTGCATTGTTGGAGGAGGAGGCTGCTGCTGATATGGAGGCTGTGATGGTGAAGCTGCAGGATGAACAGTCACAATCGGAGCGGAAGGAGCTGAAAAAAAAAAAAAAAACATTGTTATCATGATGAGCAGGAGGCGTCTCATAACGTCAGTGCATGTTAAAAGAGTCACTCTGTTAATCCCACATCAGGGAAAATACCTGACATGGTCGGAGGAGGGTAGGGATTGTCTGTCACAATGTGATGAACTGGAAAATAGGGACAATTTCATCAAACAGACAAACTGTTTTCTTTATGCTGCAACCACTCATTTACAGTTTTAAAGCATCTCCTGTCTGGTATTATCAGACAGCATTGCTGGGTTCTGGGTGACCTACCGTACCATCCTGGGGGAGCAGGGCAGTAAACTGGAGCAGGTCTGCAGGGACTGACTGCAGAAAAAAAATGGAATGCATATTAAAGTTTCTGTATGTAATCATAACTGAACCCTAAAAGACTCTATTGAGGTTCATTTACAACTTTTACAAGTCTATTTTCTTTCATACAGTCAAAATTTTAAGGTTAATCTTCAATTTTGTCATAAATGCTGAAAAAGTTAATAAATTTTAAAAATCTGTCTTTGAAAATCAATTGAAATCTCTACATTTGAAGTAAATACTGGCTTAATAAGAGGCATATGTGTTGTTATTATGGGTTTACCTGTGCCTATACTGCAAATGTATCTTTTCGTTTATAACTAGAAAATAACATTAATGAACAAAAAGATAAAATGTCCTTTCATCTTTTTTAAAAGGAATGTAATATCTGGTTTCCATTGTTAATAACAATATGTGCTTTTGAAAGCCATTCAGCTCAGTGTCCTTGGATATTAGGAAAAATATACAACTTAAACATCAATCAAACTACTTTAAAGCTCATATAAATCCAGATATAAATTATATTTGATTTTGATCCCTAATTTCGTCTATAGAATAGATATTATTTATGGGTCCTAATGTCCCTTTTCTTCTTTCCTTTCAGCATAAGTCGCATGTTTTATTTTTATTTTATTTTATCAGGAATGGGTAAAAAACATTGAATAAAAGTACCAAAAAATTATTTATAGTCACAAATTACAATGAGAAATGCATTTGTTAGTAAACTGATAGAAAACTACACTTCCAAGCAATTATAACAATAAAAATCTATTTTATCCTTTCCGTACCGTCTTGCGTTGACTCTGTAGCCTGTTCCTGTTCTTTAGCTTCTGTCGCTAGTGATGAAAAACAATCCAGTAAAAAAAAAAAAGGAAATTTATGTCGTTTGTTATAACTGTCTGTCTTTAAATTTGCAGTATTCATTCCTTACCTTTTTTTGACATCCTGGCCCTCGCTTTGATCTTAGCTGTTGGAAGGAAGTTAACATGTTTTCATTTTTTTATCAATAGAAAAAATGACCTAACACAGTTAACAGGAAGTAGTTTTTGAACATGTGAGCATGAATGTTGCAACTTGTTTTTTTAACATCCTGCATATAGGACTTATATTTCCACATACCTTTCAGAAGAGGAGCTAATCTTCGGATTCTTCTGACTTTTGGTTCCTGAATCTGCATTCTAGGAAGAACTGGATCAAACATTGGAGCATAGGTGAAGCTACTGCACGTGAAATTAGTATTAATGACCGATATGATATAAAAGTAATTAGAGTTACCTTGCCTTCTTGGCTTTTCATCTGTCTTCTTTACAGTTTCCTGTTCTTAAAGTAAAATAAGAAAAAGGAAAAAAAGATAAACATTTTTCCAAAAGATACCTTTCAGTTTATAAATAAACCATTTTATATAATTATAAGAATATATTTTTGAGAAAGGTTTTAGCATTTATTGAACGGCAAAGCTTTCTTTGTGTATTTACCTTTTTTACGCCGCACAGCTGACACCCTCCTGGGAGCATCTAAAAGGTAAACTTGAAGTTAAAATCTCAAAGGTATAAAATGGTCTAAATGTTGATCTACTTCTGACATTGAACAAAAAGAAATGTAATGCTGTAAGAGAAAAAAATCTGATTTTCTCTCATAGGAGGACATCTGAACTTTTAAAACAAATCTATATCATGGTTTTCCACAGAGCCATTGGCATGTTCAGACTTTTTGAAGAGCAGGGGCAGAAAAAAAGGAGACATAGAGCATCCTCGCCACTTTAGAGGACACTTTAACGTATTTCAGCTCGCAAATGGGTACTTTAGCACTGTTTCGCTCTCATTGGGGCGCTTTAGCACACGTGTCTTGGCTCCCAAGGGGGGCCTTCAGCACATGTGGCTCCCTAGGGTCACCTAGCATGTGTCTTAGCTCCCAGGGGCACTTTAACACCCACTTTGGCTCCCAAGGGTCATTTTCGCACTTATCTTGGCTCCCAAGGAGGCACTCTTACATGCATCTTGGCCCCAAATGGGGCACTTAAGCACATTAGGGCTCCCATTGAGGAACTTTAGCATTCTTTTTGGCTCCCAAGGGGGCACTTTAATGTCAGTCTTGGCTCCCATTGGGGGCGTGTTAGGATGAATATTTGTTCCCAATTCAGTTCAGTTTATTTCTATAGCACCAATTTCCAACACATGTCATCTCAAGGCACTTTACAGTTCACCTTATCATATAGTAAAATTGATTAAAAGTTTTCTATCTAAGGAAAACCAGCTGATTACATCGACTCATTGACTCGAAGTTAATCCCTCACACTAAGCATGCTTGTAGCGACAGTGGAGAGGAAAAACTCCTTATTAACAGGAAGAAACCTCCAGCAGAACCAGACCATCTGCTGAGGCCAACTGGGGTTCAAGGAGACATAAGCAGACATTGAAAAAGAAGCAGAGAGGCAACTGTAACCCAGCTCCCCAGGCGGCCCTGTCCAGGAAACACAACCAAGGGGGGACTTTAACAGACTTAAACATGTGTTTTTTAACAATTGGATGATAATGCATAAAGCAATTTAAACTACCATATGGGGAGTATTTTGCGGAAGTAACCTTAACTCTTAGGTTTTTTACATTTCTTCTTGTAAAAACAATAAACTTGATCGAATTTAATTTATCAAATGTGACAGACCTACCCAAATGATGCATGACTGGGCAATAGAAAACAAACAAACAGTCCTTAAAAAAATCTTCAAGGCTCAGCATCAATTCTCCATTTTCTATAGATCTGTATTTTTTTTAATATTTTTTTGTTTTTGGTTTTTTGATTCAGCATCTCATCAACTCTTATCAGCTTCCTCTTCCTGTATCCCCACAGCATGATGCTTTCACAGCCAGGTTTTCTGTGGGGATTGTTTGTGTGTTTGTGATAATGTGCAGTTTTCCTTGTTTCTACAATGCTCTACAGCATAGCTGAATTTAAATTGACAATACCATGAAAGCAGTGTGCACTACTTACTAAATAGAGGACTTATATGCATTCAAATTTTAAGCAGTATGAATATTTTTCCCAGGATACTGCACATGTTTATATTACTCCCCCTCAGTTGTAAATATATTCCACTGTTCATAGTTATATGAGCAGATAAAACATGCATCTGTGCAACAGGCTTTCTGTTATTAGTTATCCATGAATAGGAACAATAACTGCATATAAAGACAAACCTTTTTTTTCTGTAGTCTTGGAAACAGCCTCTGTAGCCTTTGCAGAGTGCATACAGGGACACTCTGAAATCACAAAGCGGAAAATTAAATTTACTCTCCAAATATGATAAAAACTTGGCTCCTTAGGCTCAGTTTCTAACCAGCTGCTTTAGTCTTTGGTGTTTCCTCCTCTGGTTCAGGCACTGGTTTAATCACATCCACTGTTGCCTTTTCCTCATCTCCATCTTCATCATACTCCTCCTCTTTCTCTTCAGATTTGTCTACAGATTTCCGAGGCTTAGAAACAGGTTTTTCAGCTTCTTCCTCCTCATCTTTGTCCTCAGTATCAGCAGGCTGGTGGGTCTCTGATGGGAACCAAAGAACAGCAACACTAAAGTTGCACAGTTATAAATAAACCAGCTAAAATAAACCAGAAGACCCATTTAGAAGTGGTGGAAAGTTCTGATATGGTTCTACAATGCACATTTAAATGCATTTATTCAATTATAAATCAAATATGTTTATTTTACGTCTTTATCCCTCTATAAACAATGTTGGTTATGAAAGAGTGCTCATATGTCCTCGCTCTTCTTATCCAAACCTAAAAGGAACCCAGAGTTTGTCATAGAAACCATAGGATCCATACCAGCTTCTTCTGTTTCATCCTCCTCTGCCTCGTCTTCATCAGCCTTCTCCTCCTCAGCATCATCAGCCTCAGTCTTTGCTGCCTCCTCCTGGCTGGTTAACGCCGCTGCTATAGTGCCTTCAAATAGAGTACATTAATCATTTAAATAAATTGGAAATGTAAAGGAAGAAATTAATCAGATATGGTCTATTCGGGAGTTTTTTATCATTCATATATATATATATATATATATATATATATATATATATATATATATATATATCACAAATTATGTATATTTCATGAATTATGTATTGAAACATGGTTTACATATAAAATCCACAGGCTGTTTAGATTGTTAGACCCTGAGGTCAGAGCTACAGAATGTCAGGAGACGCATCTGCAGGTTGTGGTAAGCTAGCAAAGAGCAGAAATCTATTAAGATTTTAGAGCACTTTATGCTTCCCATGGGCGGTTCTAGAGAGGGGCCATCGGGAGACAGGGTCCCTGTAAATCCTGTCCTGACTCCTCTTATGGCCCCTGTTCCGAAGACATAATACTAGAAGAAATTCTAATGATAATATGTGCTGAAATAGACATGGTTACTGAAAGGTCCTTTGGATCTATTTCATTTTTTTTTTTTTTTATTTTATTAATTATTTAAAAACATAGGTCCTTTGGATCTATTTCATTTTTCTCTTTAAAAATTTCAGTTTTATTAATTATTTAAAAACAATAAGGTGATTGCTACAGTGGTATTAAAATAGGATCCCAGTTTTCATCTACTAAATGTTTTTTTCAAAAGAAATACAAAAAAAAAACTCAAATTTTTACAGCTAAATTTATCAGGTTTTTTTTTTTAGTTCTCATTCTGATATTATAGAAAACTGTAATTTTAACTTAAATTAAGTTAGAAATATTTAACATTTCTGAATTATTAATTTATATTGACCTAATAACCCAAATAATAGCGTTATTTGATCTTTTAGATATTTATATATCTACGTGATTTTTTTTTGTTATTTTAACGGTAATCCAAATGAAAATTTTCAAGACAAAAACAATTATTTTCAGTTGGAAGACATATAATTTTAATTAAACCTAACTGAATGGAAATTTTACTTCATGCAGCTTTCTTAATATATTTTAATCCCTTGGCCTGTTTTTTTGTTTAATGCTTTTCCGCGATGGCCCCCCCAGCCCCTTGGTACATTTAGTCTAGAACCGCCACTGACGCTTCCCCCTACTGTAAAGCATTCTGGAGATCCATCTGGAATATATCATTATACTTTACCTTCCAGGAAACTTATCGAACCTAAATACTGTAAAGAAACTATGCAGGTTTGTAAAAGGCAAGGTGAGACACCACAGCCAATCAGTTTAAGACGTTCCTGAGTAGGAACTCAATCTGTTGTTCTCCATGCTACACTCCACTGATGCAGTAATTTGTGTACGAGGATCCTTGACCAAATAAATGCATATACACTGCAGAATGAGTCTAGACTTCTTAATATTTCTCTTTTATTTTTATTTTTTTTTATAAAGCTGGATTTTAATTTCATTTTACATAGAAGTTCATAGATTCAACATTTGCATCAAAACAGTTTTTTCTAAACTATTAGATCCACCGAATGTAAAGAGTGGTGCAGAATTAATGTATTCTGCAACATTTGCTGAAAATAAATAGCTATATCTAAAATTTTGGTTCCCAAATATGTGGTTAAGTTGCCAAAATTGACATGAAATTATTGTGCACCAATAGGAATCACAAGATTAAGTTTCTCGAGACGGTGCTCAGATCCTAGTATCTCCATTATAGAGCTGAGGAGTAACTTCTCATTAAATAAGCAATAAGAGGCAGAGCAAAGGTCAGGTTTCAGAGCAGCGGTGCCGATTTAAAGGAGCAAAGGGCTCAGAAGCCAAAAGGAGGTTGCTGCTTTTCTTCTGAACTGGTCAGTTAAATATTTTGGTGGTTAGCATTACCATCAGTGGACCTGGCATCTGGTTTGCAAACAGTGTGGAAGGAGAGAATGTGAGCATGAGCGTGCCACTTACTGGCCAGGAAGAGTTAAACTTGCAGCCATTATGTTTAATGGAAACAAACATGCAAAACGTAAAATTTTGAATCTATGATGAGGTAAAATAAATTCCAAATTTGTTGGGTTGGAAAATCTAACTTTTTAACATTTAGATTTAAATGTTTTATCTTTTGTTTTTATCATCCGATAAATGCTCTACCCTACCTGCAAGGACCAGGTCATCAAAATCTTTATCATCATCGTCATCTTCTAAGTCTTCATCGAAGGGTTCCTTTGCTTCATCTACGTCTTCCTCAGTGCCAACAGATGTTTTCATCTTTTCCTCTCCGAAGCTGATCTCTGCCGAGCTCGTCTCAATGTCCTCATCTTCGTCAGTCTCGTCTTCATCACTCAGAGAGTCTTCATCCAGTTTCAGAGAGCTGTCGTCATCGTCATCTTCGTCACCCAACACACCGCTGTCTGAGCTGAGAAAAGGAAGAACATCTTCTTCTTCTACTTCTATTTCATAATCATCATCATGATCATCATCATCTTCAACAAATTTATCAAGATCTTCAGCATCTTCATCATCATCAAGGTCGATGGGGATGTCCCTCTCATACTCGTCATCTCTACCTTCATCTTCATCATCTGCAAACTGTTCAGAGGAAGCAACAGAGTCGTCGTCTGATTGGTCCAGATCATCCCCCGTATCTTCATCTTCTTTATCAGTGTCTTCAGAAATCTTTATGTCTTCATCATCATCGTCATCATCATATGGTAGATAAGATAGATCTTCCTCGCTTGTAATCTTAATATCTTCCTCATCGTCACTAGTAATGACTGTGGGAGGAAGATCAAGATCTAAGTCATCCTCAGTGTCCTCTAAGATGACATCATCGCTGTCTGATGTTGCTGCCAATTTGTCATCTTCATCATCTTCCTCGCTGGGCAGAAGTGCGGCTTCACTGTCTGAGGAATCGACAAACGCGTCATCACTGCTATCATCTTCTAGGTCTTCATCTTTGCCATCATCATCCTCAGGGAGCGTGACGTCTTCATCGCTGTGTCTGATGGCTACTGGAACGTCTGAATCGGAGTCTGGAGAGAGAGCCGCCTCTTCTTCGTCTGAGGTGGAAACGGGTTCAGGAGAGTATTCATGAGAGGCCTCATCTTCCTCATCTGCAGCTAAAACTTCTTCAGAGGACTCTTCCTCTTCCTCACCAGCAGCTGTGTCTTTTTTCACTACTTTTTCATCATCATGTTTTTTTGCTTCCTTCTTCGCATCATCTTCATCTTTGGGCTCTACTTCAGCAGATGGGTGAGCTTCATCATCTTCCTCCTCTCTATCTTCATCCGTCTCCTCCTCTTCTGCTTCCTCTTGTTCGGCTCCTGCTGCTTTTACTTCTTCTTCTACTTCATCCTCCTCTTCCTCCACTGCCTCATCCTCTTCATTGGCTGCTTCCTCAGACTCAATTTCTTCCTCCTCTTCATCTCCTTCGTCCTCCTCTTCCTCTGCCTCATCATCTTCATCTAACTCTTCATCCTCCTCACCCCCCTCATATTCCTCCTCATACTCCCCCTCCTCATAATACTCCTCATCTTCCTCATAATAATCTTCATACTCCTCCTCATATTCCTCTTCCTCATCATATTCCTCCTCCTCTTCCTCTATTTCGTCTCCATCCTCCTCTTTTTCTTCCTCCTCAGCAGCCTCTTCCTCCTCTGCCTCATCCTCATCCTCTTCTTCTTCTTTTGCTGTTTCTTCTGTCTTTTCTTGTGTTGTCTGAACTTGCATTTCTATAACTGCAAAGAATCCATGTATTCAAACATTAGCTGAATAATATTTCACTAACAGAAAAAAATCAAAACTTTCTTAAGAAAAACCTCATTGTTACAGTTCTATCGTTTGCACACTTTCTCTGTTTCCTCATTTTTTTGCTGTTAGCACATGTTCAGTAGATTTTTTTATTGTTATGTGCAGTGCCATTTACAACTTTGTTTTGGGAAAATAAAATACATGTTATTATTTTTCTTCTCAGTTTTTGATAGTTTTTTTATTAACAAAATGTATGTAAAAGATCTACAACACACCTTTTTTTCCACTGTGAGTGTAACAGTGATGTGCAGCCTGCTGTCTCTGAAACTGTGTGGTATAATTTTCATCCTTAAAATGAGTTACACATTTTAAATATTTTCATTAGCCTGACTTATAGTTAGCTATTTCCAGTTCACACATTTAGTTAACTTTGTCAGTTTGTTATATTTTTGTTAAATTAATTTATTCTTTTCTTTTTCTTTGGGCTCCAGCTTTCTTCTTAATTGGTGATTGAAGGCTAATCAGCGGGTCACACAATTTTTTGTAATGAAAGGGAAATTTGTTTATCATTTGTTTAGATATTCTTTGTTTTGGATAGTTTTGTTAATTTGTCCAATTTAAAAAGTACTTAGTGTCTGGCCAGTATTTATCTATTGCAGAGGTCTTCAACAGGGGGTCCGTGACCCCTAGGGGGGCCACAGAGGTACTTCATGGGGGTCGCAAAGGTTTTGGTTGATTAGTCTTTTTTACATTCCTCCCTGCATTTTTTTCCACTAATTGAAATGTTTTTAAATCCACATTAACATGAATTGAACGCACTGTAGTAAACAGATAAGTGGAGGCAGAAGATATCTTTCAGTCATCAATGCACACATTAAGCGACACACAGGAGCTCTTTCAAGCTGGACACCGTTTCATTCACAACACCTGTCCCATCAACCAGGAATCAGAATCAAATACTTTAATAATCCCAGGGATAAATTACTTTGCTTACATTACTCCATCTGTAATAGAGCGACTATAGGACCGGTTTTATATAACACAATTTCATACAGTATATATACTTAGGGGGTCCCCGCTCCATCTTGCCATCAGTTTGGGGGTCCTTGGCCTGGAAAACATTGAAGACCCCTGATCTATTGGATTAAGTTTATTTGTTTGTTAGTTTGTCAGTCAGTTATCCCCCATGTGTGTCAACAGTGGTCTGATCTGAAACTATTTAAAATCCCCTTATGTCTTGTTTGATAGGTCAGTTTGTTGTAAAGTTCTTTATGTTAGTACCTGAAATTAAGTCTGTTTTGTTCAGCTCTGCTTTTGGGCCCAATTTACGATTTTTTTGAAAACTTTTTGAAATAAATTAAGACCTTCTCTGAAAAATTTTCCTTGGTTTTCTGGTCGGTTTGTCCAAATCCCTCACAAGTAAAGAGAAGAATCTAAGTCATGTGTGATTTCCCATAATCATCATCATCATCATTGTGTTTCACACAGAGGTCATTCGTGTTCAAATTGTTTTTATATAAAGTATATTAATCTGATGTTTTCTTGTTATTTGCAAACAAAATAGACATCTGAAAGGAATTCATTTTAATGGAGAAGTTAGATTTTTGCTGGAGAACTGAAGGGTTTTTAATATTGTGGGCATGTTTTTTTTATTGTGTAGATTTCTGAGAATATGAGGAATGTTTATGGAGAATAGGGGCAAACGATCAAGAAGATTTGTACATTTTTCTCCCGAAAAAAGCAAATCTAACCAACAAAGAGTCGTAAATGGTGCTGCATATCCAAAACTTCAATTTACCGTACATGTGGTAACAGCAAAAAACAATGATTGCCTCCATTGAATCAATACAGAAGGTGTTCCCTTTCAAAGGTTTCACCTTTTTCTTCTTCACATTTGATTTCTAACCGTACAAAATCTATGGTAAATGTTTGCCTATATGATGCATCGTGACATTGAGTCACGACTTTCAAAACAACTGTGAGTTCTTTGACAAAACAGGACATTTTCCAAATTAAAATTGTGACAATTGCATGAGAATTGTGTTTGCTGTTTAGACAACAGTGTGATTTAGGAATACATCAAGTGAAAAGAGAAATATTTGTTTCATAGTTCAGCAGAAACTGCTTCAAACAGTTTGTGCAGGAGTTATATGTTGTGGTCATTGTGTCTTAAATCCCAGTTTCTGTGTGTAAACAATTGAGAATATTATATAGACTGTATATAGTCTTCTTTATAGGCTATAAAGAAAATACAGCAACACATAAATCTTATAAGTGCATAAAAATAAAGTTACGTAATTTGGATATGTAACATGTCTTTTCGTCAATAATAAATGGTATTGGCTTTAGTAATTTCCAATAGATTTATGTCTCCATTAGAAAAACAATCACATTTAAGTTACTGTATTTATTTTTGGTTTATCAAAAATAAATGTCAAAAGAGATCATTTATATTCAGCTGGTACACTAGAGACCTAAATTAGTTTTAATGTTAAGGTTTTTAAAACAGGGTTTAGTAGTTCTTAGTGATGCATTTATGCAGAACATACCTTTACTTCTGGGTGGTAGAAATTCTCCTGCATAGAAGCAAATAAAAACATTTTAAAAATACAAGAAAGAAAGAAACATGTGCCGATCTGGGTCAAGGAGGCTAGCATGTTTATTCTCTTTGATGTGTTATAAAATCTAAATCTAAAATCCCACATATATGAGGGGGGTGTTAAGGTGTTTGTTAATAGCTATTGAGAGTGGAAAAGCACAACAATTAAAGACAAGTGATGAAAGTTTACTGGGGGGGTCCAAAACATCACCGCCAGAGGGCCAGAAATCCAATACCTTTCGGTTTCTTACTCTGCACCTGAACTTCATCATCCTTCCCCTCCTCCTCCAACCATCTGGACTCTTTGAAAAGGTCCATAAATAAAAGAAGCTTAGATGTAAAAAGCTTTCAGATATCAGATCAGCGGCTCCCAAACCCAGTTTGATCTGTAAACTCCATGAAACGAGCCTCCAAGACTCTGGTTAAGTCTGGCAATACTCGCAGAAATAAAAACGTTGCTGTAAATAAGATTTTATAAACTGTAAACGCAAGAGTTGATTATTAATAGGGGGATTGTTTATATACACTCACCGGC